CGTTTAGTTATTGACTGCTTCACAATCTTACGGCACAGAGCATACTCTAGGCACGGATAAAGCAGCAAAACTTCAGGCGCAGTCGAAGTGAAACCTAACCATTTATGCACTGGGTGTTAAAGTCTGATAGGATTGACTGAGTTTTCGAACCACGGTTGTTGAGGACAGCCCCATGTTAACCAGCCTCTGCATTAGTATGGTGACATGCCTGTCAAACAGTAAAGTGTACTGAATAAAATATGAACTTTCTACAGTAAAAAACAGTGGTTCCCAAATGATCGGCCGCGGTCTGAAGGTGGGTCGTGGGTCCATTCTGAATAGACCACAAAATGACTTGAAAACGTGTCAAGTTTGTAAAAAACACACTTTATTTTTGTTCCATTTCCTGCTGTAGAGTGAATAACTAGCTCAATGACATGGCTGAACTCTAATAAGATACTGAATGCATTAAACTGTGTAGACCCTGAACTAACGACTAGGGAGAAATCTGGTCCCTGTGGCTGGACCAGTTGGGAACCACTGGTATAAAATATAATATAATATTGTGATGTCGAGCAGCTCCTGTTACCTGTGTATGCCAGAGCACTCAATGCACATGGTAATTCCCAAGTTGATGGAGGCCCAGCGAGGATCCTCCTCGCCGCAGTCGCAACACCGCAGGTTCCCAGGGCCACTGAGGGCCATGCTCAGCGCTGGCGGCCTCTGAGCAGGGGGCCCCGGGGAGGCGTCCCCACCACACAGGAGAGGGGGGAGCTCTTTAGGCTGTGCACAGGCAGGGATAAAGTCTGTATGTTACAATAATAACAGTGCTGCACTTAGATGTACTTTACTAGAGTATTTTCTTTTCATGCTACTTTTTACCACACTACATTTATCTGACAGCTTTACTTAATTGACAGATTTAGATTTCTACATTAGAACATATTAAAAGTTTATAATAGGTTATAAAACCTGCCTGTGTGATATGAACGTCTGCTCTCTCCCTGTAGGCGAGGTCGATACTGCCCTGCAGAGCGCTGAGCCAGGCCTGCTTCAGCTGCTCCGAGTCTGCCTGCAGAGCACAGCATCTGACAAGAAAAATAAAACTATATGTTTGTGTTTTTTAAAGATCTACGTCTTCAGTAAAACCAAAGCGCTTGTAGCTGAGAGCCACAGGACATGAGATTTGTTGATGAAAACTAACAGTAACAGAATAACAGCCCACTGATTCTTCATTGTGAACGTGTGACAGTCTTACTTCTGAACAGAGAGCAGCTCGAAGCAGAAACGTCGGTCGATGTGCTCCAGTGATTTGACAGCACACAGTCTGAGGTCCTCAAACAGAACCACGGCTTCCTCCTGCAACACGAACACAAAACACAATGTTACTCCTTCTGTTCGTTCATCATGTTCTTTAATTTATTTGTTTTATTTCAGCACCAAAATAACATCATGTAGCACTTTCATCTCCTCTGTGCGTTTTCCAGGTTAAACTAATTATATAAGTCTGAGGTTTTGTTAATATTCTCTGAAAAAAAGCTGCAGTCAATCAATAACAAAACACTATAACACTTTGTAAAGATGCAAAAATATAAACTCAGTATTTCTAACCCAAACTGAGACCTGCCAAAACGTGCCGAGACCTGCCACATCACTTTGAATAAATGAGCAGTTGTACCTTGTGTGACTTCCTGTAAATGAGTTGATTGTCTCTGATGAAAAACCAGCACCTGAAATGAGTTTGAATATTAGAATAAAGTTTAGTCCTATTATGAATGATATAAGACCTTAACAAACACATACACACAGATTAAATACACACTTTTTAAGGTCCAGTGTGTCGGGTTAAGGGGGATATGTTTTTAAGTATGTTTTCTTTAGTCTATAATCACCAGAAAATAAGGAATCGTGTTTTCATTAGAATGAGCCATTTATATCTACATGGGGAGCAGGTCCTCGTCTATGGAGATCGCCATGTTGCACCACTGTGTTTCTACAGTAGCCCAGGATGGACAAACCAAACACTGGCTCTAGATAGGCTCATTCACAGTTTCTCATCAGCCACTGTAATTACAGGCCTCTCCAGTGAGCGTTGGATCACTTTTTGTGTAACTTATTTATGCATTGGTTTTACTGGTTTAAATTAACTGGACCATTTGTTTTGGAGAGGAAAAGACATCTGCAGATAATTCAGCTCCCGGTAAAAACCTCCTGAACAACAAAAACTGTGGGAATTCTAACCAGGAGAAGTTTCAACTGGTTGCAATCTGCAATCCTCACCACTAGACACCACTAAATCCCTCTAAATATTACACTCTGGACCTTTAATTGAAGCTCTCCTTGATCAGCAGAAAAACCAGTAGCATTGTACCTCTTCCAGGTTTTGGATTTCCTCCGGGAGCGTTTGAAGAGGTAACCCTGGATGATGTCATCACTCCCAGGGCAAGGGCTGACCATTGGCTCTCCTGAAGCATCCTGAAAACACACAAAACAACAATTTCAGGTGGCGCTATGCGCAGAACACTTTTGGTTATTGTACGGATTAAACATACAACATGCCAGTGAGTTTAGGTGGATTTTATTACATTTGAGTGGAGCCAGACAAGGTGTTTCCACCTGTTTCCAGTCTTAATGCTAAGCTAAGTAGCCTCACATTCACTGCACAGACATGAGCGTGGTGTAGGGAGACAACAGACAACAACACAAGAGTAAATCTATAATAACTCTCAAAATGAACACTGGCCTATACAATAAAGATAGAGTTATCAGTGGCAGAGATCTTGACAGACAGATGGACCGATAGAGGTGACGTTCTTACTCTCTGCTGCACCAGCAGGTGTCTGTTCTCCAGGTCTTTTCTCTTAACTGCACAGTCTGATGATAACTGCGACAGCTGGATAGAGAAAACAAGCACACAGAGTGAGCTGGATTTCATACGTTTAGGTGATAATTAAGATAAAAGTGAAACAGAAAGGGGTCAGAGGTCAGGACCTGTGTTGCCATGGTTTTCATGGTGGGCTCCAGGTCCCTGAGCAGGTCAAAGCCTTGGTGGAAGAAGGTGAACTGAGCATGGACGAAGGAAAACACCTGACAACAGACAACAATACACACATTTCAAAACAACTCCAACTGTTTATCCAAAACTTTGAGCTCACTATTTTTGAACTTTGGACAGAGCCAGACGAGCTGTTTCCCCTGCTTATGGTCTTGATTCTAAGCTAGGCTAACCACATCCTGACACAAGATTGGTCTCCACATCTCACTCTCACAGAAAGAATACGCTTTGTTCCCAAAATGTTGAACTACTCCTTTAAAACAACAACATACATAAATATGACTGTAAAATTAAACAACTCACTGAGTTTAAGATGTCGATTCTCTGCTGAGTCTTGAAGGTGTTGAGCTGAAAACAATTGAAACGTGTGGAATATTTCATTCTCTGTTGTTCAAACATGGAAATAAAATGTGCGGTGATGTGATATGATGGCAGCTGTGTGTGTGTGTGTGTGTGTGTGTGTGTGTGTGTGTGTGTGTGTGTGTGTACCTGCAGACAGTAGTCCAAGGCGAAGTGTTGGTAACATTTGCGTGTGGCAAGCAGCAGGTGACTCGCCCGCTCTGCATCACCAGGTTTGTGGCGAGACACCTGAGCATTCTTGACTGCCGCCGTCTCCAGGTCGTCCCCTATCCGGACAAACTCCCTCCTGGTCTCCAGCAGCTGGGGCAGGAACCTCAGAGACACATCGTTATTGTAATCGTCAACGTCATGATTGTACAGGTGCATGCAAAAGTCTGGGCACCCCTGGTCAAAATCTTTTACAGTTTCAAATTAACAAAAAATGAAAAGGACCTGAAGCAAAAGTTTGGGCACCCTGCATGGTCAGTGCTCAGTAGCACCCCCTTTGGCAGGTATCACAGCTTCTAAACACTTTGTGTATCCAGCTCAGAGTCTTTCAGTTCTTGTTTGGAGGATTTTCACCCGTTCTTCCTGCAAAAGGCTTCTAGCTCTGTGAGATTCTTGGGCCGTCTTCATGCTCTGCTCTTTGAGCTCTATCCACAGATGTTTAATGATGTTTAGGTCGGGGGACTGTGAGGGGCGTGGTCAAACCTTCAGCTGGCTCCTCTTGAGGTCGTCCATTGTGGATCTGGAGGTGTGTTTAGGATCATTGTCCTGTTGTAGAAGCCATCCTCTCTTCATCTGCAGCTTTTTTACAGATGCTGTGACGCTGGAATTTAACTGAATCCATTCTTCCCTCTACCTGTGAAATGTTCCCCGTGCCACTGGCTGCAACACAAGCCCAAAGCATCATCCATCCACCCCCGTGTTTAACAGTTTGTTCTCCAAACATACCTTTGCTCATTGTGTCCAGAAAGTTCTGTTTTACCTTCATCAGTCCACAGGACTTGTTTCCAAAAAGCATCAGGCTTGTTCAGATGTTCCTTTGCAAACTTGTGAGGCTGAATGTTGTGGTGAGGACACAGGAAAGGTTTTCTTCTGATGACTCTTCCATGAAGGTCATATTTGTCCAGGTGTGTCTGCACAGTAGAACAGTGCACCACCACTCCAGAGTCTGAGAAATCTTCCTGCAGGTCTTTTGCAGTCAAACGAGGGTTTTGATTTGCCTTTTTAACAATCCTACGAGCAGCTCTCTCGGGGGGGTTTCTTGGTCTTTCAGACCTCAGCTTGACCTCCACAGTTCCTGTTAACTGCCATTTCTTAATGACATTACTAACTAAGGAAACTAAGGATAGGTAATAGGTAATGGCTGCTGATTGTTGGGACAAGGTTTCAGGAGTCAGAGTATTTATAAAGCTTTAAAATTTACATTACCTGGACATTTACAGAACCCAATGTCTTTGTCAGGCCACAAACATCACCATGCCCTCAGGAAGCCACTAAAGGTCCCTAAAAGCTCGCACTTCCTAAAAAGCTTTTACCCAAATGCTTTAAAGAATTAAAATGTGAATAACCCAGCTATGAGATTTGCGCAATAACGCAACAACTAAAGAGAATATCCTGAATATGTGCAATATTTCGTGACTGTGCAATAATGTATTGTACTTACTCTGCTTTAATAGTTATCTATTGTTTTTATACTCATGTATATCAAGTCTTTAATGTGTCTGCTTGTCTGTGAATTTCTGTATGATCTACTGGAGACACCTAATGTCGTTGTACAGCTGTGCAATGACAATAAGGGCACTGATCACTTGATTGATTATCAGTCTTATAATTAGCCTCTCTTTCTACAAGTGTATTTGTTTCTGTACAGTAGTGTATTTGTTCTTTCTTTTAAATCTATTCTTTCATGCACAGATGGAAAAGTTTGGGTAATTGCGCTGAAAATTGAGCTTCTTTCAATAAAAACAGATCTTAACAAAAAATAAATAAATAAATAAAGCACAACCAGAGGTCCTGATATGTACAAGTAACCGTTGACCATGTCTGAGTGTGTGTGTGTGTGTGTGTGTGTGTGTGTGTTGGACCTACTGTGTACAGAGGTTGCTCAGCTGCTGACTGATGGCTCTCTGAGTCTGATCAAACAACATCTGAGGACAAAAGAAAGACAGAGAAACAATATCATCAGCTGCATCGACCTCATGGATGGATACTGAACAAGCCTAACAGGCTCTGGTCCAGGGGCCTGAGACGACAGGGGCCCCCGGACCAGAGTCTGTTAGACCTGTTTAATTATTATCCGTGAGATTTTCTGAACTGTCCCCAACTCAGACATTTGTCCACAAATATCTTCCATTTGAACTATCAGAGATTTCAGCGGCTTCTTCCATTTCTCTGGAACAAGACGAGCAGCGTTGGGCTGGTTACTCTAAAAATGTAATATATTATTCATTATTCTTTTCAAAAGTGATAAAATTACTTATCACTCTCTGACAACAGTAATTTGTTACACTAGTCCTCATACTACTTTCCATTACACCCCATAAAATTGGTAATTGCACATCTCCCCAAAATTCAGATGTGTGCCCTTGTGTGAATGTCAGGGTAACTGCTGGTAAGTGTGGCTGAAGCTAGATCACTGGCAAATGATTTTTTGTTTTTTAGCATAGGGGCCTACAGTTGCCTGTAATCGTTATATTCCCTAGGCTCAGGGTGAAAGACGGAGAGTCACTCGTGGAGCAACATTTTCTCCACAACATATCTATCTGCAGGTTTCATTAGTTTTTTGTAGCCTGCAGCTGTCCACAAGTTAAATCCAGTTTTGGTTGTTTAACCAGTGAGGCTACACCAGACCTCCACGGTGGGGCGTATGTCCTGGAGTTCCATGGTGTGTTGTCGGTCATAGTAGGTGTTTCAGACCAGTGGTTTGAGGATGTGTTTTCCATTCCACCTGACAATATCAAAGTAAATGTAATATTTCCAGCTGCTAAGGAAAGCGTTTCCATCTTGCAAACTAGCTTGCTGTTTTGAGACGTGCATGCGCAGTGCAACAAATACAAAAATGAGACCGCTGATGTGACGCTGTTTTTTTTTTTCCCCCCAAACCTGTCTGCATTAGTCTTTGTAGCTTAGCGCCACAAAAGGGTGTAAGCTTATTATGAAGAATGATGCACTGTTAATCTTGCAGTCAAGTATTTTATACCCATACTGTGCGTGGTTGTGACCATCACCCACCCTCCCTGGAAACTAGCCGCTGACGCTGTTTTTCAAGTTAGTGGTGACGTGATAACAAACAGTAAAGTTGTAACGAGTTGTTTGGTTTTGGGTAAGGATAGACCGATACATCGGCCAGCCGATATATCGGACCGATATTTGAGTTTTTTACTTGTATCGGCATCGGCCGATACGCGCGTGGGTTCGTGGATTTATTTTTCCCTGGCACTTTTTTCATTTGAAAATATGTGGTTAAGTTGAACAAAGCTGTTGAATCCTACTGTGTACAGTAGTTGTTGTTTTATTTATGCTTCAGCTTAAATATTTGTTTATTTTATAAAGACATTACTGGAAGATTTAAGAGCACTGAACTCTTTTTTTATTTGAATGTATAATAATAATATTCTACTTGTTCTACCTCAACTTTCCATCTTGTTTTAGTATTTTTTACTGTTCAATAAATGTTTCTTATTTTAAACTTGAGACCTGTAATATTTGTTATCATTGTGTCATTTTTTTATGTAAATTGAGGGAGCAAAAGCAGTATCGGCCCCAAATATCGGCTCAAGAAAATCGGCAGTCCATAATCGGTCATCGGCTAAGGGTGATGGAAAAAAATCGGTATCGGCATCGGCCCTAAAAAATCCATATCGGTCTATCCCTAGTTTTGGGGTGACTGTTTTACTGAATTTTTTTTGGTAATTAATTACACTACTTCTTACTGTAAAAAGTAATATTATTACTGCCCCACAATGAAGACAAGTCCTTCCATCCAAACAGGATTGTCACAACCTTGGAGATCACAGATTTCCACATTGAAGTAGAAGGAGGGTCATTCATCCCCGACTCAAAAAATTAGTTGCAGCCCAAACTTACACCATGTTAAAGCAAAGACAGGGATAAAACATTTAATACACAGAAAACAGGATGTGTGTGTGTGTGCACTCACCGTGTGGAAGCTGACCATTTCCTGCAGGCCCTGGTTGAACTGGTTCAGACAGTTCTGACATGGAAGAAAACAGGAAGTCAGTATGAAACACTTCACAGGAGACCGTGAAAACAATAGTGAGATGCCAACCATTTGCCACCAGAACCAACACACTGCCGAGAGGCCTTTTCCACTCTTATACAAACTACTGGTGGATCAGTTTATAACAAAACATCACATTTATTAGCATTAATTAGCTCCATACGGTGATGACGCCGTCCTTCTTGTTGTACGTGGAAAGTTCAGCCAGGCCGGTCAGGAACAGCTGATTGGCTGCACTGTAGGCTTGACCCGCCTCCACCATCTTACTGCACAGCTTCATCACCTGATTGGTCAGAGACAAAGATTACAGACAGATAAGATCTCCTCACAGGTACATAAGTACAGGTATACAACAACAAATGTTGATAAAATAACAAGCTATTGTGTATTGATATATAAACTGTGTCAGCCACAGGGGGGCAGCAGATACACACGAGTCACACCACAGAAGACGTATCTGCAGTAGTGACAGAGACAGTAGTAGTGGTAGTAATAGCAGCAGCTCCATAAGTCATAATAGAAACAGTAGCAAAAGTAGCATTAACAGTTTTGACACTAGTAGTAGTCATAGTGGCAGTAACAGTATCAACAGGTGTAACATTAGCAGTCGCAGCAGCGGCAGTATTAACAGTAACAGTAGAAGTAATAGTGGTGACAGTAGAAGTAACAGTGGTAGTAGCAATATAAACAGTAAAATTAGTCATAACAGAAATAGTAGTAGTAGTAATAGTAAAAGTAAGTGGTAACACAACACGGTAACAGTGTTAACCCAATTCGTATCATTAACAATAGTAACGTAGAAGCCTGGTAGCAATAATACTATTAACAGTGGTAGCAGCAGTAGTTGTAGCAGTGGTAGTATTAACAGTAAAAATAGTAGTAGCTGCAGTAGTAACAGTACTATTATTATTATTATTAGTAGTAGTAGTAGTAGTAGTAGTAACAGTAATATAGTAACAGTAGTAGTAGTAGTATTGACAGTAACAGTAACAGCAGTAGCTGCAGTAGTAACGGTAGAAGTAGTTGTAGTAGCAGCCTCAGCAGCAGTATTAACAGTAGAAGAAGTAGCTGCTGTAGTAACAGTAATGAAAGTTGTAGTAGTAGCTACAGCGGCAGCAGTATTAACAGAGTAGTAGTTGTAGTAGTAACAGTAGTACTAGTAGTAGTAGTAGCAGCAGTATTAACAGTAGGAGTGGAAGCTGCAGCAGTAACAGCAGTGGTAGTAGTGGTAGCAACAAAAACAGTATCAGTACCACTGTAACAGTTGTAGCTACAGTAGTAGTAGTAATAGCTGCAGTAGTAACAGTAGTAGTGGCAGCAGCATAAGCAGTATTAACAGCAGAAGAAGTAGCTGTGGTAATAGCAGTAATGAAAGTAGTAGGATAAGCAGCAGTACTATTAAATGTAACAGTAGCAGCAGTAACAGTAACACAGTATCAGTAGTAGTAATAGTAGTAGTAGTAGTAGTAGTAGTAACAATAACAGTAGTAGTAGTTGTAACAGTAATAGCAGAAGTACCAGCAGCAGTATCAACACTAGTAGTAGCAGCAGTGACAGAAACACAGTTAACAATAGTAACATTCACACAGTAACACATTAACAGTCACACAGTAACACATTAACAATCACACAGTAACACAGTAACAATAGTAACATTCACACAGTAACAATAGTAACATTCACACAGTAACACAGTAACAATAGTAACAGTCACACAGTAACACAGTAACAATAGTAACATTCACACAGTAACACAGTAACAGTCACACAGTAACACAGTATGAACAGTAGTAGTAGTGACAGAAGCACAGTAGGAGCAGCAGTAGTATTAACAATAACATTAGTTGTTGTAACAGTGATAGTATCAGTGGCAGCAGCAGTATCTACAGTAGTAGCAGCAGCAGCAGTGACAGTAACACAGTAACAGTTGTAACAGTAACACAGTATCAACAGTAGCAGCAGCAGCAGCAGCAGTATCAACAGTAGTAGTAGTGACAGAAGCACAGTAGGAGCAGCAGTAGTATTAACAATAACATTAGTTGTTGTAACTGATATTATCAGTAGCAGCAGCAGTATAAACAGTAGTAGTAGTGACAAAAGCACAGTAGGAGCAGCAGTAGTATTAACAATAACATTAGCAGTTGTAACAGTGATAGTATCAGCAGCAGCGGCAGTATCAACAGTAGCAGCAGCAGTATCAACAGTAGTAGTAGTAGTGACAGAAGCACAGTAGGAGCAGCAGTAGTATTAACAATAACATTACTAGTTGTAACAGTGATAGTATCAGCAGCAGCGGCAGTATCAACAGTAGTAGCAGCAGTAGTATAAACAATAACAGTAGCAGGCGCAGCAGTGACAGTAACACAGTAACAGTAGTACTTGTACCTTATCCAGTTTTGTCTCGAGCGCAGACACATCCGCCTCAAACAGCTCGAGCTTCAGCCTGAGCAGAATAAATAAAACATCATCAAGTCTTCTGCACATGCGCGGTTTGGAGATGCTCAAGTGTGTATGTGTACTTACCTGAACTCAGGTGAGTCTTTGACACACTCCTCAAAGTCCAGCAGTGTGTCCATGTTGTCTTCTGTTACTGTCACTGAGTCAAACTGTTGATAAAGTTCATTAAACCCTGTTAGCCTACAGTTAGCCGGTTAGCTCCATTCAAAAGCTCCTCTCTCACTCCTCATACTTAACTCCGTCCACAATCTGTGAAAAACCGCCGATAAACTTCTTCCACGAGCCGTATCGATAGTTTCATATATGACAGATCGATCGGGCATCGTGCACGCGCGCCTGACTGTCACGCATGTTGGATAAAAGTGTCATTAAAACCGTGTTAACTGTGTTTTCAGTGTGACAGCTGTCTGTGTGTGCATCCTGCAGCCCGCTGCTGCTGCTGCTGCTGCTCCGCCAAACATCCGGGTGGGTTGGATCAGATCCAGACAGCAGTGGGGAAACAGCGACACATTGCGACCTGGGGTGGTACTGCGACCTTATTTATTTATTTATTTATTTATTTATTTCAGTGTTCGATAATCGCAAGACATAAACAAATACATTTTAAATGAATAATAAATACAAAAATTACTAACATTAATTAAAAGGGGAATCAATACAAAGATGAATAAATAAAGATGCACATTAAAGCAGAAATATTCATTTATGTCATATTTAATCAATTACTTAATGCTTACATTTATTTTAAATATTATTTTTGTTACATTCAATGGCATATTAATATATCTATCGAGTCATTTATTTGTTCTTGTATTTTTTAAATGTATTCATTTAAGTGTCCGGCAATCACAATGCATAAATAAATTAATTAAAACTAAATAATGAATGGAGGAATGAATACAAAGGAGAATAAATAAAACAGAAATATCAATTTGTCACATTTTATCAATTAAATTATGCCTACATTTATATTTGTTACATTTAATGTCATGTTCATTTATTTATTGAGTCATTTATTTTATTTATTTGAGGTGTCCCAAAATCACAAAACATAGATAAATTACTTTTAAATACATAATGCATAAATAAAATTAAAATAATAATAAAAAAACACATTATAGGGGTAATTAAATTGAAAAATAAATAAGCAGAGAAATTAATACAAAGGTAAATAAATACAGAAGCAAGTCTTTAGTTATTTTTTTTATTTATATGAGAGTCCAGAAATCACAATACATAGATACATTATTTAAAAAAATAATAATAAATGCAAAAATAAATAAATAAATTTAAAAATGAATAAAAAGTAAATAAAAGGGATGATTAAATTGGAAAGTAAATAAGCATTGAAATAAATACAGAAGTTATCAATTTATGTCACATTTTATCAATTAATGTCTGTGTTGATTTTTAATATTATATTTGTTACATTTAATGGCATATTAATTTAGTTAGTCATTTATTTATTTATTTTGGGTTTTGGCAGCTTCCATCCTCCAAAGTCAGGCAGTGGTGGAGGAAGTATTCAGATCCTTAACTGAAGTAAAAGCACTAATACCACACTGTCAAAATATTCCACTACAATTAAAGGTTGTGTATTTAGAGCGTAGACTGTATATAAACATCTTTATATAGCACACAGTTTATATATGTCTATGATTTAGAGTATTTAGCTTCATGCTGTCAGTGTTTTCCTGTTCTACATGATGGTTTTGGACTAATAGCACTGCTGCAATAATGTAAATGTGTCATTTTCCTACTGTAGATGTTTCAGGTTGTGCTAATTTTCACTCCTTTATATACTGTTGGGTAGTTTAATCGACAGCAACGCACCATATTCTATAAGATCATCATATGTTTGTAGCATGGGTGTCCTGTGAGAACCAGATATCTCTAAAAAGTCAGAAAAATGGTCTGTTGTCAGCTTTGTGACGACGACTTTTCCAGCTGATCCAAGAGGGTTTTTAAAGAGTTTATTTTAGCTTAAGAAGGAAGAAAATTTTCTCAACACACTGGGGAACACTTCATCCTTCAGTTTATCACAAACATTCAGGACCAGCACATCTGGAAATACATGGTTTTCACTGGACAGGAAGAGGATGAAAAACTGTCACCTGAAAAGTAACTAAAGTTGTCAGACAAATGTTATATTCATGTCTTCCACATGGATAGTCTCATAGTCTCAGTGTTCAGCTCAACATTTCAATAAAAGTCTGTGTCCTCATCATGATGATGATGATGATGATGATGATGAAGGTGGTCCTCAGAGTGATCACACATGTTCAGGCCTTGGCGTCGAGCATCTCCAGTAGCAGTTTGTGGAGGGGGACACAGCGGTGGCGGTGTAGCCGCAGGAAGGCCTGCACGGCTCGGTCGGCCGTCTGCCGCAGCAGGGGGAGGCTCATCAGCAGACGGCCTGTCCGGTGCTGCTCTCTGCGGGACGACTCGTACTCCTGCAGGGCCTCGTGGAGCCCGTCCTGGAACCTCTGGACCAAGTCTGGACAGTCGACCGGGTCGGCATCTGACAGATCAGAGAAGAAGACATCAGGACATTTACTCAAGTCCTGTACTGAGGAGCTACGATTAATCAATCAACAGAAAACTGATCTGCTACTATCAATTTTTTTTTATAGCTATAATGTACTTTTCTAAAATGCGAGAATTTGATGCTTCTTATGTTAAATATGAATGAAAACTAAATATATTTGGGTTTTAATAATCAAACAACATCAATAATCAGATCATTAAATGACTCTAAAGTGTTTCTATTTTATGCTACTTTACACTTCTATTCTGCTTCATTTATCTCACCACTATAGTTGCTTTACAGACTAAGATTTTACATGAATACATATATTAACTTTATAAAATGCAATGCAATGTTAAATATTATGCAAACCCATGGAGGCCTGTTGCTGCCAGAAAATTAAATTTTAAAAACTAGTGTTAACTTAAGAATAACTCAAATAAAAACACTTGTGTGTTAAGTACAAATTTAAGACAAAACTTTAACTTAATGTAAGTCAAATTTTGACTTTTTTTTTTTTTTTTTCAAATTTTAAGTCAAAGTCAAAATTAAAAGTGTTATAATAAGTCAAAATTTTGACTAAGTAAATCAGTACTGATACTAAAGCACAAATATGAGATATTAGGTCAAAATTATTATTACATTTTTAATAACTTTATACATAAAAATGTTCATTATTATTGTTTAATAATTTTGTCAAACATTTATTCAAAACATAAAAGATGTCTTCACGGGGCAAACTATAATTGTTTACTAATACTGTACCAAAGTAAACATTTAAAATGTTATTATAGCTGCATTACAAACATTTATTAAATGGTTAGAAACTGCTTATAAATGCTAAATAGGTGGATTTAAAGTGTGTTTCATTGTTCTGTATTGTAGTTTTGAGGTGAAGGTGTTTTATGATATTTATATAGTATTCCTGAAAATTATATAACAGAGTGCAGTCTGCTGTGAATGTTTTACCCCAATTATTTATTGAATAGTGTGTAATTTATTTATATTTTCTTGTGTTGTAAACATGTTTTAATATTATTTTTATGTTGTAGCTTACACATTTTCATTTCCACGGTGACTCAACTTCAAAATAAAAGACTAAGGGTGGGTACAACTGTTGGTCAAGTGGGAGTTAAAAAAAGGTCAAGGTCAGCCTGTGGGTGTCTGTACAGTGCACGCACAAACACACCCTGTGTCCTCCAGCAGACAGTTAACAGTTTATAGATCCAGAACCGAGTCTATCAATACACTTTATTGATCCGAGGCTCAGACAGTGGGAGACTGACCAGACTTCAGCTGGAGGTGTCCCATCATGCACTGCTTCAACAGGAGCGTTTTATGCAATCATACACTGCCAGTCAGATGTTATTGATCAGCTGTTAGCCTCAACAAAGTGCTTTATGTATCTTCTCCTTCTGTGTCATAGAGCTCAAGTGTTACCTTGAAATTACTCACACTGTAAAATAGTCCCCAACAAAAGCACTATTTCCTCCTGTTTGACACAAACTACAGTGAGCAGCTGTTTTGGGAGATTTTGGAAACATGAAATTATTTGTTAAAGCTTTACTTCTTCAGGAGGAACCAAAGGGCACGTGTAGAATAACACACACTCACTCCAAAGACGACCCCCTTCCCCAAAAAGTTTTGGGGCTAATCAATACAGCGCTGCTTCAGCTCCCAGCCTCTGATCAATATCAATAAATACTCCTCTGGGATCAATAATTTCAGATCCCCCTCCATCCTCCCCCAAACTTCTCCTCTTTTTAAATTGTAAATCAATATGAGTATTCATGGTGCTGCTTCTGTTTTATGTTATTTCTGTGTCTGGGGCAGATCTGCAGTACAGGGGGGCATCAGGGGCATCTGCCACCCCACTGTGAGGTTTATCCCCTCTAGTATAAACAGACACTCCACAGGGAACTTTGAAGAAGGGACACTTAAGGGCAAATCTATTTGATAAAGCCACAAAATATGAAAATAGAAAAATCAAAGTAATTTTAGGAATATTTTAAAAATATTATGTTAAAGCTTAGTTACTTAGCCCTGTATGAAAGTATCAGTTCCAAGATATAAAAATACACTCACAGATATTCAAAACCCCTTAGTAAACCCTTACTCTAAGTAAAAGTATTACTAGCAAAATTTGTTTAAAGTATCAAAAGTAAAGTGCTCGTTATGCGAAATGGCCCCGCTCAGTGTTTTCTATATATATTACTGATGGGAGTAAAGAAGGAAGTATTATAAAGAGTGAGAGTGTGCATACAGAGACAGGTTGTGATTTGTCTGGATGGGTCAAACAAACACAGGACTTTGCATTGGGAGATGGGTGTTTGTGTCCCATGTGAAACCAAATGTACTTTGACTTATTTTAGGATACGTCAGACAACATGATTTGTTTTCTAACCTAACCTACGCATCTTAACTTGTCTAAATCTAACTTGTGTAACTTTACTTGCCTAAACCTAACCTATATGACTTTACTTTCCTAAATTTAACCTGCTACATAACCTTACTTTCGTAATCCTAACCTATGTAACTTTCATTGCCTTAATCTGACCAATATAATTTAACTTTCTTTAACCTAACCTATGTAAATATACTTGCCAAAACCTAACCTACGCAACCTTACTTACCTAAAACTAACTAACTAACTACGTAACTTTACTTGCCTAAATTTAACGATGTAACCTTACTTGGCAAAGCCTAACCTATGTAATTGTACTTTTCTAAACCTGACCTATGTAACTTTGCTTGCCTTAACCAAATCTATGCAGCTTTATTTTTCTTAACCTAAACTACGTGACTTAACTTTCCTAAATTTAACCATGTAACCTTACTTGCCAAAACCGAACCTCCACAATTTTACTTTTCTAAACCTAACCTTCGCAACTTGACTTGCCTAAACCTAACCTACATAATGTTTTCTAAACCCTCGCTACATAACTTTGCTTGCCTAAACCTAACCTATGTTACTTTGCTCTCCTTAACCTTTTCTACGCAACGCAACTTTACTTTAAGTACATAACATGACAAAACCATTTGTGGGGCATAATACAAACTGTTGTATGAGGATACAAGTGTTTTTTAAAGAGATCAGATGTTTTTACTAGGGATGTCCCGATCCGATATTCGGATCGGTATCGGCCGCCGATATTAGCAAAAAACGGGCATCGGCATCGGATCGGACTGCATGGAAAAATGCCGATCCATGAACTCCGATCCAGTTTTTCACGGAGTCTGTGCCAGGTTTTCCGGCTAGCCCAGCGCTCCGCTATTCAAGCAGTCCATTGCAGTGATCCGCTCCAGCTCTTACTATCAATCCACCAGGCCAGCATGCAGAAGGCAGATACACAGAGGGTAGGAAGAGTAGCGGTCAATTTAGTTAACTGACTATTTGTTTTCTGCTCTGGTTTTTTGAGAGTGATATTTTTATTTGGTTTACACTCTTACTGTTTAAGTAAAGAGCACTGATGGCATTGTTTTGGGCACAATTAGTGAAACTGGAGCCATGGATGGACTACAAAAACACTACTAAAATAACTGACAAGGAAAGGCTGCATTGTTTGTTAAATGCCAACAATGTCTTGTGGTGTTAATCTTTTTTTTTATTTATTAGGGGAGCAAAGCACAAGTGTGTGGAGTCTTGCTGCTATTTTAATTTCATTGTTAGACATTTTAAAGATTTCTTGTGTTGATTCATTTTCTATTTATTAAGGGGCCAAAGCAGCCAAAGCAAACCAGCTATATTTTTTATTTAATGTTAATGCTCAAGTTTAAAGTTTGTTTATTTAACCCTGTTAACATTAAACAGGTCAGTTTCTCATACCAACTGTTGTGGATCATTCTAACTAACCTGATTAAGTAGTTGTTCTTTGCTTGATCAAACCTTTTCTAACATGACTGACAGCAAAATAAGTGTAAATGTATAATACGCGCTTGGATCGGATCGGTATCGGTATCCAAAAAACTCATCGGTATCGGTATCGGCCAAAACTCAAGGCTGTAATATCGGTATCGGATCGGAAGTGAAAATGCTGGATCGGGACATCCCTAGTTTTTACATGTAAAATCTTTACCTGAGAAGTAACTACAGCTGTCAGACAAATGTAAAGGTGTAAGAAGTACAATATTTACCTTAAACCTACTTAAAAATACTATATCTATAGATATTTCAACAACTGACAAATCATAGACATCTGAAATGTGACCAAAAGGTTGGAAACGACTGATTTAATCTTTATGAATAAGCAGGATTTTATAAATATGTATACTTTTTTAAAAAAAAAAAAAAAAATCTTAAAAGTAATGTAATACCACAGTTTAAAAATACTTCAAAAGTCCTGCATCCAAAAAGTTACTTAACAGTAAAGAAATATCAGGTATCATATTATTATCATATATTATGATTATAATTGCATTAATATGTTCATCACTTTAATGTTGCTGCCACTAATGTGGCAATCATATTAATTATTTTATATACTGATAGGTAGTTTAATGTAATGCAGTAAAAAGTACAACACTTCCTTCTGAGATGTAGTGGAGTAGAAGTAGGCTATAGTGTCATGAAAAGAAAGTGCTAGTAGTTAAGTATATACTTATATATACATATATATATATATATATATATTGTCTTTTAAATGCTTCAGTACCAGAGTTAGCGAGTGCCATGGCCTTCAGGGTCACCACCTCCTCTGGGCTCAGGTTCATCGCCTGGTATTTTGCCGTCAGGTGACGCAGTGCCTCGTACAGGTCAGCCAATCCCGCGGCTTGACACTGAGCCTCATCCAGCCGCAGGTTACCAGCGAACACAAGCTCCTCCCCTGCTGCACCCTGTGACCGCCAGGCCACGCCCACAAGCAGCGCCTCCATCCAACCACTCTGCAGCAGTGACATCTGGTCGACCAATGAAAGCCCAGAGAAACCTGAGAGGGGCAAAGCAGAGCAAGTGTTATTCAGGTGTGTCAGGCAGTATGGAGGATAACCAAGTCATACATAAAATTTATCTTGTAAATGTGAGATAGGATTTTCTAAGTAAAGTGAAGGGTGTGGTAACTTCCAGGAAAAATCTTGTAATTTAAAAAATATCTTGTAACCGCAAGAAAATGTTTTTGTTTTTTTGAAAATTGTAAATCAAACAAAAAATCTTGTGAGACAGGATCTTGTAATTAAAAGAAAAGGTCTCCAAATTAAAAAAAAAAAAAATCCCCGAAATGCAAGACAAGATTTCATAACTTCCAAGTGAAAAAAGTAACTGAAAGAACATATTTCGTGATGAGAGACAAGATTTTGTACTTTAAAGAAAATTTGTCAAAATTACAATAAAATTTTTCTTGATCTTGTGATTAAAAAACTAATTTTGTAAATTAAATAAATATCTCATAACTGAGATGTCATAACTATAAGATATAATTGTGCACACAGAAGAAATTGCTACGAGCTCTTAACTGAGCACGTAGCGCTGTGTGAAAAGTTTTTAGGAGATCCTTTGTGTGATTTGAATGTGTACCTGGGATCTGTTTGGCCCAGCCAATCAGAACCAGCAGCTCCCGGTTCAGGAGGTCACAGAGGGTCAGCAGGGTCCGCAGGCTGCTGTCATTGGTGGAATCGTCCAGATTGGCAGCCGGTGGGGCGGGCTCTGTCAGCAGCAAATGGGAAATCACCTTGTTTCCTAAAAGAAAGGCAATAATAATTAAAGATCGTACTCATGCAACGGTTTAATTTAATGCACACTTTTAGTTCTTTATGTTAGAGCGTCTCATGTGAACTCACTGCTGCTGACAGGATGACTGTACGGCGCTCTGCTGTATAAACTCAGTCCAGACTCCACCCGCCTCTTGTACTTCTGCCGTCCTCCTCTCACTCGGTCCATACGAACTCCTGCAGCAGAGAAAGGACGTTACAGTCAGAATCTGTTCAGTGAAGGAGACACAAAATGACTACGAATGATGCAGCTATGACTTCAAAGAGTGTTTCTTTGGACTATAAGTCAAACATTAACACTGCAGCACCAAGAGCGCATCTTTGAAGTCATTTTCATTGAGGTCTTTCAGGCTGCTCATGCACTGTTCATACATGTACCTATGAAAAGTAATGCACCCAAATTAGATAACAACCCATGTAATCAGCCAGTAATTTATAACCGACATGAGAGAGCTGCGATGTGCGCTGACGGGGGTAAAGATGGAAGGAGAGTTAAAGTCTGCATGAGGATGTAGGTGGGGGTCAAACAAACACAGGTCTTTCCCCCCAGAAGACCAATGTTTTTTTACCGTCTTCAATTTCCTAAACTTAATCTACTTAACTTTACATTGACGCCTCTTTTCCACTTATGTACAGTATGTGACTGGTGTCTGTATATCCATAAATATACGGATGATGCCTCTAGTGTCCAAGGCAGGGAAGTGCATTTCCTTACGGATGGATAGAAACCTGATAGAAACTACCTGTAGCCATGGGGGAGAGGCTAATTTTGTCCATGTTTTGCCATCCAGTAGTTTGGAAAATGCGCTTGGAACATTACCCGGACAAAAACAGGACAAATACTGTATGGCAGCAAATGAGTGAAGATATCGGCCTGCCAAGAATGCTGCAGGTTTTGTGAAATTCTCATTAAAAAGACGTATGAATGGCTGGGAGGAGCATAATGATAATCTGACTGTATATAATGTAAACCTTGTGGTCACTGTGAGCATCTTTGTGGTTGTTTAGAGGCGCTGAAGTCGTGACAAGTCTCTAAGTGATTGTTTTGCATCTCTTTGTGATTGTCTGTGACCTGTAAACTGAGTTCTGCGACTTTCCAACAAGACAGTTTAACAGTCTCTACAAACAGAGGCTCATCAACACTGCAAAGACGCATGGGTAATCACTATGACAAACTCAGGGGACGTACCCTCCCTCATCATCCCAGCCTGGAGACATTTCTGGAAGCGGCAGGCCTGACAGGCTTTCCTCCTCCGCTTGGTGATCTCACACTCGTTCATCACGGGACAGCTGTACTCGATGTTACCTAGGTAACCACAAACAGGAAGTACATACAGGAGGGTAAATAACATCACATCAGTGACACAGCTGACTACAGTGTTCATACTGAGCGTGCAAAGATACAACAATAAGTGACACAAATAAACATGTTTTTTGGATATTAAGATTATATTTCTTCCTACTTGTTTTTATATCCGTGTGTCTGTTCCCTCCATCTGTGTCATCATCAACAGAATTTCTGCTTCACACACTAATCAATGCACTGAGCGCTGCTTTATTGATCAGCTCTGCCTATTAATTCCCATATTGATCAAACCACACACTGTGGTTCTCACCTTGTATGGTCCTCTTGAAGAAAGCTTTGCAGGCCTCGCAGGACGCCACGCCATAGTGATACCCAGAGGCAAAGTCGCCGCACACCAGACAGAGCCTCTTGGGCCCCACAGCACCCATCGATGACAGGTAGTCTCCCCTCAGGATGGAGTCCACCTGCGGAGAGACAACACACTCAAATCTCTGCTGCTTTCCTTTAAATACTATCTGAGTGCGGCTCATTGGTTTCTACTGAAGACTTAAATTTTTAACAAATACATCGTTTTGTCAGTAATTTCATAAAATGTATTTTTTTAAAACAGGGAGAAATAGTGAATTTGTTGGGGACTATTTTCAGCAGCGGATCAATCCACATTTGGTGCTCCTGTGAGTATTTGTGTCAGCAAGATGGTGTATGTGGGGTTGAATCAAAATAACCTGCAGTGTGTGTTCACAGTGTGGCTCATTGACACAAATGGACACAATAAAAATGTTCTTCACCTGTGCTGAAAATGAATTGGTCTGCGACACTGAAAAACACACCGAAGTCCCCGACACCACAGCGCTGCCTCTGACGCTTCCTCCACTGGAACTGGATCCTGTTGGGGAGTTGGGCTCTGCTGCTCCACAGAGGGGGCTGTAGGAGGAGGAGGAGGAGGAGGAGGAGGAGGAGGCCGGGCTGGGGAGGAGGAAGGCTCGGTGTGAGGGGCTGAGAGCGGGTGTGGTGTCCAGGGGGAAGGAGGGACTGAGGGGGGAGGAATGGAGGAACGAGGCCGGAGACCGAGCTTCATCAGCAGGACAGGAGGAGGAAGAGGAGGAGGAAGAGGAATCCAAGAGGCTGAGGAGGAAGACAACAGTAAGAATAAACAACCGGAGCTCAGCAGCAGTAGTGATGGAGAAAAAAAACACCAAAGAGAGGTTATACTCATAACATTGAATAAAAATAAAATAATCAATCATTTTCAGAATTCTTCACATGTTGGTAAAACCTTCAGCACATAAGTTAATTCAGTCGCCAAAAAGGTTGGCATTGTCCGTTTCTGCAAACCACGGATTCTTTACATTTGTACATTATTTTGTAGCAGTTACGTTGAAACTTTACATTTCTCAACAACGCTGTGGTTAAGGTGTGGTTAGGTTTAAGCACAAAAACAGACTGGTTAGGGTTAGAAAAGATCATGTTTTAGCTTAAAACACCCATGTTTGGTGGTTCAAATGCCCCTCTGAAACAGCCAATGTGTCGGTATAAAAAATATACATATTAAAAAAAAACAGGTTCAGTAAGAAACACAACAAAACAAAATGCCACTGGTAACACAGTAATATGTAACACCAAGGTTCAGTAGTAAAAACACCCAGGTTTGGTGTCACAAATGCCATTGAAATATTCTGCGAACGTTGTCCAAAAACAACCAGTTTTGTCATTTGTTGGTCTCGAGCAGCGGTCTGCAGCGTAGTAGGTGTCTCGCCAAGGTGTCAAAAAACAAAACAAAAGGTATCTACTTCACCAAAATTTAATTAACCCTTCAAAGTCTCCTATTAAATCATGTGTTCACCTGGGAGGATGTCTGGTCTGTAAGTTAAAGCTGCTCTGTGGAGGTTTTGACCACTAGTGGCGCTGTAGAGTTTTTATGAGTGTTTGCTTTTGTTCTGTTGTTGTTCCTTTGAACTATGTAGTAATACCACCATGTAGAAATACTCAGTTAAAGTAAAAGTCCTGCATTCAAAATCTTACTCAATTAAAGTAAAAACAGTGAATTAGTGGGGTTAACCTGCTCATATCAGGGAATTAAACTGGTACTACAATTAAAACTAGTAGTGAATACTTTACATACAGTACTAAAACTAGTGTTGGCACTACAGCTGCTATACTGCTGTACTGCTATACAAATGCAGGTCCATTTACAGTGTGACAGCTAATTAGATTAAAGATTAAATCTGCTAATAACAGCAAACTAAAGAAAACATGTTAAAGTAAAAGTTATTGAGAAACGTATTTAATGTTCTGTTGATGTTTTTTTTTCATCATTCAGTGTTTAAGTTTTATATTTTTTCTTTATTTCATCTATAAGAAGTTTTTATTTGAATGTTATTTTCCAGTGAAGTTTACTGTTATAATTAATGTAATTGTTTTTAATAGGTTTAGTTTTTCAGCTGTTTAATGTCGCCACAGTACACAAAATAAGTACACAAATATTTCCTTATATTATAAAACAAATTACAGCTGATTCATCCTCATCATCTTTTTCAACTTCTTCAACTCCAAAAATTCATCATCAGTCTAAGATAACTAGCACAAAAGTATATTTTTAAAACCGCCTCTAATGTCATAGTACAACTTAGTGGTACTGCAGTTGCAGGAAAAAATATTTATAACTTCATCTTAAAGTGTTTAGAGGAGCAGAAGATGTAGAAAAACCCACCGCTGTGAGCTGATGAAGTGACAGTCGTCTGTCAGACAGAAATCCTTCAGCTCCATCCTGAACCTGATCCCAGATCAGCTTCAACAAACAAACTGACAAATCCAGCACACAACAGTAAAGTAAAAACCTGCTGCTGTGGTGCGTTCACACAAACTCAGTGAAAGAAGGTTTTCTGATGATGCTTTTAGGTCCAATTAAAAAAGTGGGAGATAGTAAGAAAAGTTCTCCTGAACTCTGACCTTGTGTTTCCTGCAGAGAGGAGGGAAATATGGACACAGATAGACATCTGAGGACTCAGAGGTGTCTGCAGGGTTATTTATCTGTCCTATCTGAAGAGGGCGGGGCCTAGAGGATCAGCCAATCAGCGTGCAGCATCTCCAGTCTGAACAGGGGACTTCTTCTATCATCTCTATTGATTTGACAGATGTAGGCCACGGCAACCTGAAGCTCCTCTCTGCTCATGTCGACCTGCAGCTTGAAAACATTTCATATTATTATCAATAATAAAAAACAACAGATCAAAAGCATTTCATCAGGTCAAGTTGACTGATAGGCCCATTGTTATACAGAAAAAAATGAAACCTTAAAGTTTAATTAGTTTTACAAAACATCAGTATCACAGCTGAGGACACTGACGTCCCACGTGTTGTTTCTAAGAAACTTTTAGTAGTAAGAAGTAATATTTTCTTTTACATTTTATTTGACATATTTTCATGTATTTTACATATTTTTTCATCTATTTCTACATATTTTTATTATAATTTACATGTTTTATTTGTTTTCCTTTTTATATTATGAACATTTTAAAATGTATTTTACATATCTTTATATATCTTAAATATTTTTCATGTATTTTTCTTTCTTCTTTCACTGGGAATTTTTCTATTTTTCAATTTAGGATTCTTGACTTTGTCAGTACTTGTTTTTCTTTTTCCTGTCTGCACTATATTTATTGCATTATTATTACTGCAACAAAACACCACAAGGCAACATCTAATATTAATAGCAATAATAATAATTATTATTATAATTATTATTTGAAGTTACAAAGTGTTTTGCATGGTTGAACATGGACTTAAAACAATGCAGGATTGCACACAACCAAACACAACCAAAAAACAAAACAAAAAAAGGAAACCCCAACAATAAAGATAAATGCCACCAAACGAAACAGATAAGCAAAGTTTGCAACCAACTGCCCTGAAGATGCACTGAGGAAAATAAAATCAAACAAATATATGTATGTGGAAACCTATGATAAATTAAACCTGGTCCTAAAAAGAAGATGTATAAAAAAGTCATCTTGCTCGACCAACAGTCCAAAAGCCAAAGATGTTCATTTCTGTAGATGACTAATCATTTAATTGACTCCTGCATCCTCAAACATCCTGTCTTTTTTTGTTCTTCATGGTTTTTGTTGATGAAATAAACACTTCCAAACTCTTTGGTGTGTGTGTGTGTGTGTGTGTGTGTGTGTTTACAGCAAACAAAGAAGAGCTGAGTAAACAGCAGAGATGTGCTGACGTCACGAGGCTGAATCAGAATCCTTCAGTAGTGATTGGTCACTGACACCTATCATTCAACTGATTTATAAATAAGTAGGAAATTTTACTCAGTGGCTTACCAGAGAGTCAGTTATTTATTCAAATCATTTATTTCAAGCAAAAACACTGAGAACACTCTCTGGTTTCTCCGATGTGTGACGGCTCCTCGAGGCCTCAAGACCAGTTTCCTGCTCTGGGGAGTGTTTCATTAGGAGTGATGGAAGTAAGGTCGTCAAATACCGCCACTTTGTCAGGTGTTGTCAGTTTGTAACACAGCCAGGTGGAACCTTTCACAGTGTTATGATACACCACTGGTTGGACCTGACAGCACCAGTCTCGGCAATATGATACACGGACGGCAGCATCAGCGTCAGTTGCAGCGGTATGATATGCGGATTGACGGCATCAATTTGAAATGCTGCTAGTAGCGACGTAACATGAGGAGCTGGAAAGTCGCTATAGGGTGGTTGGGAGAGGTGGTGGATGGGTCCAACAAACCCTGGACTTTCACCCAAGAGCCTGCCGTTAACTTCCTGTATGAATGCTGTCTCGCCTCGTGTCACACCATCCACCATCCCCTTGAGTTTGGCTACGTCCATTATTTTTAGACATGTTGTAATGAATATGATGTAGAAACTTTTTTGTGTTTGTTTGAACGTGCCTGGCATTATTATCTCCATCAGATCTGACTACTGGCTAACCAAAAGGTAAGCAGGTGACCAGCGTAGCAGGCACAGGTAACAGAGCATGTTTCCCACAAGACGACGCCCTGTCCAACACGCCATGCAACAAGTCCTCCAACCTATCTGACCATATAGATCATATGGTAGTTGGTCCTCTGCCTTAAGCACCTCCAGAAGGACATCAAACTGTTTTACAAATATCTTAAAATATGTCTGGAACCAGCCGTGGTAGCACTTTAGCTCCTGTACGTTGAGAAGATCATCATCACTGGATGCTGAATTCATTATTTTTTTTCTCAAGAATGAGCCGATGCAAATCTATCAGGCCCAGGGGAAGTGCGGCGGGCTCTGAAGAAATTTTTGTAGTGGCCAAACAGTCTAATTACGCGGTCACGTGATGCCCTGCGGCCCAAAAAACACACTTTTTCCCATTGACTTAAATTGGGAAAGATACATCTGCAAATCAGTGGATACATTTTTTTGAGCATCACAGCCCCAGCAAAATGACTAGTTTCACTATTAGGATTTAATCCATTTGTTCTGAAAACATTTCAAAAATCTTGAAGAGCCGGAAGATTAATTAATTTTATTCCCAGTCAAGTTAGCAGAGCGCTAAACCAAAAGTTAGCCGCTCTGCCGGAGGGAGTAAGATGATCAGCTGCACTCGCTTGCACTCTCTAGTGCGCCTGCTCAATGGGCCACATAATGCGGAAGCAGTGCCGATCATCCAGGGAATTCTGAACACAGCAGCTGAACCATTTTGGCTTCATGCACTGCTGAGCAACTCTTACAGAAATGAGCACGGCTCTGTGTTGGAGCTGTCCCAACTTTGCAACCCTGCAGGTGTAAATATTCAGCAGTACGTATTTCATGTTTTCCTGTTGTTTATTCATCACGCCCCCTGGTGTGTAAAGGCCTGAAATAACTGAGACATCATGGCCTGAAAATGAAATAAAATATGTGAAAAATATTGAAGGGTTGCGTTTAGGGCAGATA